CTGTTTCTCTCTCTCAAAACCAAATAAAAACATTAAAAAAAATTTTTTTAAGAAAAATGTTGCCGCTGATGTCAAAGAGATTGGTGCCTGTGCTTTCCTCAAGGATTTTTATGATTTCAGGTCTCACGTTTAGCTCTTAAATTCATTTTGAGTTTATTTTTGTGTGTGGTAAAAGAAAGTAGTTTGGTTTTATGTCATTGAGTGTGTCTGTCAAGTTTTCCCAAACCATTTGCTAAAGAGACTGCCTTGTTCCCACTGAATATTCATTCTTCCTTTGTCATATATTGATTGACCATATAATTGTGGTTTTATTTCTTGGTTTTCCATTCTATTCCAATGATCTATTTTTTATGCCAGTATCATATCATTTTAATTACTACTGCTTTGTAACATAACTTGAAATCTCTAATTGTGATACCTCCAGCTTTGTTTTTCTTTTTCAAAATTACTTTGGCTATTCAAGGTCTTTTGTGGTTCCATACAAATTTTAGGATTGTGGTTCCATACAAATTTTTTCTAGTGCTGTAAAAAATGCAGTTGGTATTTGGTATGAACTGCATTAAATGCACAGATTGCTTCGGGTAGCGTAGACATATTAACAATATTCTCCCAACTTTGTGTCATCTTGAATTTCTTTTATCAGTGTTTTATAGTTTTCAAAGTACAGGTCTATCATCTCTTTAGTTAAATTTATTCCCAGATATATATATTTTTTGGTTTTAAGGCTATTGTAAGTGGATTGTTTTGCTATTTAAATTTTTTTAATGTTTATGTATTTAATGAGACAGAGAATGACAGAGCGTGAGCAAGGGAGAGACAGAGAGAAGAGGGAGACAGAGAATCCAAAGCAGGCTCCAGGCTCTGAGTTGTCAGCATAGAGCCCAATGCAGGGGTCAAACCCACAAACTGTTAGATCATGGCTTGAGCGGAAGTTGGACTCAATTGACTGAGCCACCCAGGTGCCCCAAGTGGGACTCTTCTCTTAATTTCACTTTCTGCTGCTCCATTATTAGTGTACACACTAATTTCTGTACAATGAATTTGTATCCTGTGACTTTATTGAATTCATTTATCAGTTCTAGTCGTTTTTTGGTGAATTCTTTAGGATTTTCTATATATAGTATCATGTAATGTGCAAATAGTGAAAGTTTTACCTCTTCCTTAAAAATTTGGATCTTTTATTCTTTATGTTGTCTAATTGCTGTGCTTATGACTTCCAGTATTATGTTGAACACAAATGTTGTGAGTGGACATCCTTATTTTGTTCCTGTCCTTAGGGAAAGGGCTCTCAGTTTTTCCCCACTGAGTATGATGCTGGCTTTGGGTTTTCATATAACGCCTTTATGATGTTGAAGTATGTTCCCTCTAGACCTACTTTGCAGAGTTTTTTTTTTTTTTTATCATGAATAGATTTTGCACTTTGTCAGATGTTCTTATTGCATCTATTGAAATGATTATACGGTTTCTCTTTTACTGATGTGACATATCATGTTGATTATTTTGTGAGTATTTAAAAAAATTTTTAAGTTTTATTTATTTATTTTGAGAGACAGAGAGCAAGCAGGGGAGGGGCAGAGAGAGAGAGGGAAACAGAATCCCAAGCAGGGTCCTCTGCTGTCCGCACAGGGCCCGATGCAGGACTCGAACCCACAAACTGCAAGATCATGACCTGAGTCAAAATCAAGAGTCAGACACTTAACTGACCAGGACACCCAGGAACCCTGACTGTTTTGTGAATATTGAACCACCCTTGTATCCCTGGAATAAATCCCACTTGATGGTGGTGTGATTTTTTAAATATATTGTTGAATTTGGCTTGCAAATATTTTGTTAAGGATATTTGCATCTATATTCATAAGAGATACTGGCTTGTAGTTCTCTTTTTCATTGTGTCTTTATCTGGTTTTGGTATAAAGATGATACTGGCCTCATAGAATGAGTTTGGAAGTTTTCTCTCCTCTTGTATTTCTTGGAATAGTTTGAGAAAAATAGGTGTTAACTCTTCTTTCAGTGTTTGGTAAAATTCGCTGTGAAGCTGTCTGGTCCTGGACTTTTGTTTCTGGAGAGGTTTTTTTTTTGTTTTTTTTTTTTACTGACTCGATTTCATATTTGGTAATTTGTCTGTAAAATTTTCTATTTCTTCCTTCTTTAGTTTTGGTAGTTGGTTGTTTCTAGGAGTTTATCCATTTCTTCTAAGCTGTCTAATTTGTTGCCATATATATTTTCATAACATTCTGTTACAACTGTATTTCTGTAGTGTTTGTTTTTCTTTTTTCATTAGTGATTTTGTTTATTTAGGTTATCTCTATCTCTCTGTCTCTGATGAATCTTGCTGAAAGTTTATCAATTTTGCTGATGTTTTCAAAGAACTATATCCTCATTTCATTAATCTGTTTTATTGCTTTCTTAGTCTGTGTATCATTTATTTCTGTTCTAATCTTTTTTCTTTCCTTCCTTTTGATGGGTTTGGGTTTTATTTGTCACATTATTAAAGTCACTTTAATATAGCCACACTTACCATATTTAAGCTAAAATAGGTCAGGCTCATCTAAAGAAGACTGCAACAGGATATTAACTCTGGTTGTCAGAGTTAAATTCACACCTGCTGACAATTCTGAGTTTCGTGACAGAGACAGATGAGGGAGTCTCATTTGTTTTAATGAACCATAGTATTCACTACTAATGTGAAGATTAAAAAATGGCAATTCCTGAAAAAGAGACTGTGGCTAGATAATGTAACCCATGAATTAGAAGAGCTTGGAATAACAATTTATAGATTTTTTTTTTTTTTTGGTTAACACTTCATTCTATACACTTCTTACTTTTATCTCTTAAAAGTCTTCCCCAGATCTATCAGCTCAATTCTTGACTGGATTGCACTGAAATATTTTTTGCCAAATCTATCAGTTCAGTTTCTTTCTTTCTTTTTTTTTAATTTTTAACATTTATTTATTTTTGAGAGAGAGAGAGAGCACGAGCTGGGGCGGAGCAGAGAGAGAGGGGGACACAGGATCTGAAACAGGCTCCAGGCTCTGAGCTAGCTGTCAGCACAGAGTCCGACGTGGGGCTCAAACCCACGGACCGCGAGACCTGAGCCGAAGTCAGACGCCCAAACGACTGAGCCACCCAGGCGCCCATATCAGTTCAGTTTCTTAAGCAAAGTAGTATAATAAATCTAATTCATTTATTTCTTAGGCCATTATGAGTTTTAAATAAATCTTAGTGCTAACAGAATAAAATTCAATGGCCATTGCAATATACTGATAAAGAATCATATTTGATGGTGAACCACTATCATAATTATCCTTTAACTTTTTTTTAGTTTTAACACATATATAATTATTAAGGGAATTAATGAACAATAAAAATGAAAGGAATTGATCAGTCGATAACAGTGACACAAATACTTTTTAATTTCATTTTCTTATAACTCAATTATAATCTTTAACTTATTAAGTCATTTATTCAACAAATACAAAAGAGCAAATAATCTGAGTAAACCAAAGCACTAGGTACTGAGCCATAAGTGGAAAGATTAACATGGTCTAATGATCTAATGGGAAAGATAAATCTTACATATGTAACATCTATCGAGGTTATCGTATGGTAGTACAAAAACCACTGAAAAGTTATATCCAGAGGAGATACTTGGCGAGTGTATTAAAATATCACTATAATATAAAAAATGGAATACAGGGCACAAGAATGGATATAGAAAATGTAGAAGTAGTTTCAGAGACAATGCCACCTTGCAGGTGAGAAGATAAAAGCTTTAGACCAAGATTGTGGCGGTGGTAGACAGAAAGAGGAAGGAAGATTTTTTTACAGGAGCTAGCAGTTTATTTTATATTGAAGAATAAAAATGAGGGAAGAGTCAAAGATGAAACTCTGGTTTCTGGTATGAGCAACTGACTGGATGGTCGAGTCATTTTCCATCACAGAGAACACTGAAGTAAGAGCAGGTTTTTGGGTGAACCATGATACAAATTTTAGACTGTGTTTTGGAGGTTAAAAAATTTCCAAGTGAAGATATTGAGAAGGTAATAATAAGAATAGTCAAAGCTGGAGCCATTGACATAGAAATGGTACTTTAAATCACAGGAATGATGAAATAATTTAGAGGCAGAGAATAATTGAGAAGGAAAGAAGCTCTGACAAGGGTCAGGTGGAAAGTGAGTAACAGGCAAAGGAGTCTTTGAGAAAGAATAAACAAAGAAGGAGTCAGAGAGTGTAGTATCATAGAGAGTCAAAGTAAGAAAGCAAGAAATTCTAAAATGAGAAGTACGGTGAACGGAATCAAATACTGTAGAGAGATAAAGTAAAATAGAAGTTGACAAATGTCAGCTAAATTTACTGACATGAAGTCCATTGGTGAATTTAATGAAAAGTCATTTTGGAGAAGCTGAAAGAATGTTTCAGTTGTTTAAAGAGTTTTGGAAAGGGGAAGAAAGAGTCTTACCAACCCACAAGATAACTGATTATGGAAAGAGGAAAAAAGTTAAGACTATGTCTAGGAATGGAGTAATTGCTGATCAAAGAGACTGTTTAGCTAATAAGAGACCTTAACATCCGTGCATGCTTATAGATGATTGAGTACAGAGGGAGATAATGATCTTCAGTAGGAAAAGGAGTTCAAAGGAGTTCCCCTTGACTTTTGATTGATGCATGAAATTCTTGTCATAATTCATGTGGACTTATTTTTTGCTTATAGGAGTTTCACCAATCTAAAGTCAATACTCCCCCAACAGACTTTAATGTTGTGAGACCTGTGGAGTTGTAGATTATTCATGACTCATTTCATTTACTAAGGAGAAGCTTCAAAACAAATGTTTATATTTATTCATCATATTTCTTTCTCACAAGTTCTTTTATTTCTAATTAATCAAAGAATTTTTTGTTTCTTTTTATGCTTTCTCTAGGAAAATTCCTATCCTTTTTTATAATATCACCAAGTAGATATCTGGAGCAGAATCAATCCTCTCAGTTACATAAAATTAAAAATGGCATATTGTTGGAAAACAGATCTAAATACCAGTGAATCACATCAAGAGCAGCATGAGCACCAAGAATTTCACTCTGTAAATCAGTCCTTCTTCCCTAGCCAAGTCAGTCTGGGTTTTGATCAGCTAGTAGATGAGATCAGTAATAAAAGTCCATTCTATCAGAGAGAAATTGAAGAAAACACACTTTTTGTACCCTGTGCACCAAACTGGGACTCAAGACGGCATTCGTTAAATGAAACACACCAAATATCCTTGAATGAATTAACTTCTAAAAGTTCAGAACTCTCTAGTCACCAAGTGAGGAAAACACCAGTAATTGGTTTTCGGGGTTCTGTGCTACTGAATCCTGAAAATATGAACAAAGCAAGCTCTTGGGGAAACCCCATAGGAAGATATCATGTTGCTGATGATTACAGATTAAATATTTCAGGTTCATCATCCACTAGTTTGGATAAAATTAATTCACAGAGTCAAAAAGAAAATGAAAATCATAACTACCACATAGGATTTGAAAGTAGCATCCCTTCTACATATCCATCCTTCTCAACTGACTTCATGCCAAAAGAAGAGAATAAAAGAAGTAGAAATATGAACATTGTGGACTCCCTGATGCTTTCTGAAGGTTCTTTTCCATCCAGGACCTGGCAAAGTACACAGCCAGAAAATACAGAGGTATGTATAAGTATCATGTATGTTGGCCTAAAAAAAAAAAAAAATAGAATCTGAAAGAATCATTCAATAATGTACTGGATTAATTGATAATGAGGGTCATTCACCTTAAACAGGAAAAGCTATCGATATTATTTGTAAAAAAAAAATAATTTGTTATTCAAAATTCTGTGTTCCTAAATTAATGATTTTTTCTGAAGAAAGAAAATAAAAATTTTATATTATTTTTAAATTTCTAGTTTCATCAAAACTAAATAAAATATTATAGTCCTTACATTTTATTGTTTTAAAAAAATAATTCGTTATTCATAAATTCTGTTTTCCTAAATTAACAATTTTTCTGAAGAAAAATAAAAATTTTATATTATTTTTAAAGTTCTAGTTTTATCAAACTAAATAAAATGTTATAGTCCTTACATTTTATTGGATAAAAATATAGTTGGAATTTTTGATGAAAGTACTTTTAAATCTTATGGTGTTATTATGCATACTAAAAAAAACCACATACATCTCATTAGATTAATATTTTTGAGTCATTCCATCATAAATTAAAACTTTATATCATTATGGTAGGAAAAATGTCCTTTTAACCAGAGACTCTTAAATAATATTTTTGGCAGGCAACTTCTATTGGGATCATTCCAAGAGTAGGAAATTAAGCAATCATAGTGCAATTCTACCTAATGGTTTCATTAGTAGTTCTCCAATCAATTTAGTCACCACAGAGTTTCTTGTATAATATTTGAATATTTCTCTGCTTACACCTAGTCTAGACACCAGTGAAACTGGAAGTAAACAGTAAAAAAAAGAAACATTGCAGCTACAATTTATAGGGTGAAGCAAAAGGACTCCTCATTTATTCAACAACCATCATATTCTTAAAATATACATGATATACTTAGGCATAATGAATGCAAAGAAAAGACATGACATGATTTCAGAAACAGCATATTGCTCCAATTAACTTGTCAACAAATAATGTCAACAAATAATGGCAACAGAGTAAAATAACAGATAGAATGAGTCCACAGGAGAAGAAATACCTAATTCTGTCTGAGGCACTTGAGAGAAGGTAGCAACTCAACTGATCTGAATTAAAAAGTCAATGAATTTAGGGTGCCTGGGTGGCTCAGTCGGTTAAGCATCCAACTTCAGCTCAGGTCATAATCTCATAGTTTGTGAGTTCGAGCCTTGCATTGGACTCTGTGTTGACAGATCAGAGCCTGGAGCCTTCTTTGGATTCTGTTTTTCTCTTTCTCTGGACCTCCCTCACTTGCGCTCAGTCTCTCTCTGTCTCTCAAAAATAAATGAAATATAAAAAAATTTGTTAAAAAATTTCAGGGGCGCCTAGGTGGCTTAGTCGGTTAAGATTAAGCGTCCAACTTTCGCTTGGGTCATGATCTCGTGGTTCGTGGGTTTGAGCCCCGCGTCGGGCTCTGTGCTGACTGCCAGCTCAGAGCCTGGAGCCTGTTTCAGTCTGTGACTCCCTCTCTCTCTGACCCTCCCCTGCTCATGCTGTCTCTCTCTCTCTCTCTCTCTCCTAGAAATAAATAAAACATTAAAAAAAATTTATTAAAAAATTTCAGTAAATTTTAGGGACATCTATTTCTGATCAAGGCAGAATATAACAACTAAACTTCTGATTTCAGACACTAAATGAAAAGCAGTATAGGACATGGTCCTTGAGGTCAACTTTACCAAAGTTTATCATTGTGGTAAACACCAAAGTGTCACATGATCATCCTCACTTCCACATTGGGGCACTTTCTTGCTGGCAGAGCAGGCCAGTAGAGCCCAATGTGAGCAGCAATATCACTAAGCTTGAGCAGTCAGAGCCTGCAGTTCAAGGACAGATTGCCAGGGGAGGTAGGCAGTGTGTGGGAGTCAGAAATCTCTATGAGATTTACTGTAGTTTTTTGGCCAAGTGGTTGTGTTCAGCACATACAAGTAGAAGTTATGTATTGCAAGGAAGTTATGTAGTTATGTAGTAGAAGTTCTAACCTAGCAAGAGAAGGCACTGAGCTGAGTAGTTTAGGCATTCAATTGAGATTACCCAAAGCTATCTCTCTTAAGAATGTAAAACATGTACTCTAGAGTGAATGCTGCACCTGCCAAAATAGATATGGCCTAACAAAAAATAAAATAGGGGCTAAAGAGACCAAAAGGAACTTCACTACCTGCCAGGGAAGAATTGTATACTTTGTAAAAAACAAAACAAAAAAACCCAATTTACAATGTGTCATCTATAATGCTGAACATATAATAATAGATGCACAGATATGTAAAGCAGAGGATTTTAACCCACAATCAAGAAAATAACCCAGTCAATACAAAGAGATCCTGACATAGTCTAGATGTTGAAATTAACAAATAAAGACTTTAAGTTGGTTATTAAAAGAATGTTGAAGTAGATAAAGTAAAAGGTGGGCATAATAAGTAGAGCAATGAAGAATCTCAAGAGGAACTCAGAAACTACAAAAAAACAAAGACTATGGATTTTCTAGTATTGAAAATATAATATCTGAAATGAAAAAGTCACTGAATGTACTTAAAAACATATAGAAGATGACAGAGAGGAAGACAGTAAACTTGAAAGAAAAACAAGAAAAATGATCCAAACTAAAGAGAAAATAAAATGATTATATAAAAATAAGCAAGGACTCAAACTTATGGGACATGTAGGCTGATATAAGGACAATTTTGGAATGCTAGCAGAAGAGAGGAAACATAGGAAACTAACTTGAAGACATAATGGTCTGACCATTTCTTAAATTTAGTGTAAAATGTCACAATATAGATCTAAGAAGCTCAACAAGTCCCAAACAGAGTAAATACAAACACAACCACATGTAGACAAATCATGCTCAAATATCTGAGAACAAAAGTAAAGGAAAATCATAAAAGAGGGCAGAGAAGGAAAACAGATTTCACACAGTAGAACAATAATCTGAAGTAAAGTGAATTTCTGTCAGAAACAATGAAAGCCAGACAACAATGGAATGACATTTTAAAATTATATTTTTAAGTTTATTTATTTATTTTTGAAAGCGAGAGAGATGCAAGTGGAAGAAGAGCAGAGAGAGAGAGGGAGAGAGGATCTCAAGCAAGCTCTGCAGTGTTAGCACAGAGCCCAGTGCAGGCTCCATCTCAGGAATTGTGAGATCATGACCTGAGCCAAAATCAGGAGTCTGATGCTTAACCAGCTGAGCCACCCAGGCATCCCAACAAAGGAATGACATTTTAAAAGATATGTATCCATATGTATACACACAAATATATATATATATATGTATATATATATACATATACACACACACACAAATAAACACATATACACATATGTCTATATTTCTGTATCCATTGAGTATACATTTCAAAACTTAAAATGAAATAAAGATATTATAAAACAAATGTTGGGAGAAATTAGTCAGCTAACTTGCATACAAAAATACTAAAGTAAGTGCTCTGGGTACAAAGAAAATGACACCAGATGGAATCTAAAAATGAACAAAGAGCAGTACGAATGGTAAATATATTAGTAAATATGAAAATCTACTTTTAAATTTTGATAGCTACTGAAAACAAAACAGCTTTTTACTGAGAGTGATTTTATACATATAGGTGAACAATATTTGACAACAATAACATAAAGGGTGAGGATAAACAGTATTTGCTATTGTGAATTCTTACATTTTAACTGCAGTGGTACAGTATTAACTCTAAGTACATACACCATGATATGCTAAGGATGCATATAGTCACTTCTAAGTTAGTATAGGCTGTTAAAAAATAATACTGAGAAGAAAAACTAAAAATCCAACAGATGAATGAAATGAGACCAAAAAATCAAATAAACCAAAAATATCAGGGAAGGAAAAATAGAAGAATAAATTAGAAACAACTAAAAATGAAAAATGAATATGGCAGTCTTCATTCCAATAATATCCATAAATATACTAAATAAATAGACTAAAATTCTAAGTAAAAGAGAAAGATTGACTAACTAGATAAAAAAAGATTTAACTACTATCTACAACAGACAAGTTTAAGAAAGGCACAATTGAAAGTAAATAAAACACAGATTTAGCATTTGACCAGCAAACAAAAAGGTTATTAATAATAACAGAAAAAGTACATTTCAAGGCAGAGCATTATCAGAGAAAGAAAAGGGTCACTTCTTAATGGCAACAGGGCTCATCAGGAAGATACAATAAATTTAAATGTGTTATCTACTTAATAATAGCCTCAATATATACAAACAAATTTTACTTCTTTTAAAGTTAATCATACGCCACCTTCTGATTGAGCCACTTATGGATTTATTCATAAGAAATAAAACACAGGTCCTTATAAACACTTTAAGTAACAATAGTTTTCTTTATAAAAGCTATGAACACCCCAAATGCCCATCAACAGAAAGATGGATAAACAAATTATGAAACTGTGAAATATTCAATAGAATATTATTAATTGGCAATAAAAAAATGAACGACTGATGTGTGACAACAAAGATAAATTTAAAAATATATATATCATTTAAATGAAAGAAACCAGAAAGGAGCACATATACTTAATCTATGACATTAGAAATCTGAATAATCTTAATAACAGTAGTTACCAAATACACATAGTTTGCTAGAAAGAGGTGTGGGGGAACTTTCTAAAGTGATGGAAATGTTCTATATTTTATTATGATCTCGATAGCACAGTTGTATACATTCCTCAAAACTCAAATTATATATTTAAGACTCATGCATTTTCTGTATGCATTACCTCACTTCAAACAAGCAAACAAACAACAGAATGAATTGAAGGGATGCAGGACAGGATGCTCCAAAATGTACCAATTTGGCATTAAGTTTACTTCAAGTTAAAAGTAATAAATATACAGCAGATGCAGGAAAAACTCTGCTTCCCTCATAACTGCCCTAATTTACATTGAAAAGAAGAGAAGAGAAGAGCTATTAACACAGCCTCCCCTTCACCTAAGGAACTTATCTACAAAAGAAGGCAACCTTTGTTTTCAAACATCTCTTTTCACCTTCTTAAGAATGGCTTTCTTCTCCTTTGTGTTTTCAGACTCCTAACCCTCTGCTTAGCTCAAATAAGCTTCAAGTTGTCTCACTGTCTTTGGAATCTCCTGTGTGGATTTCCCATACATACACATACATCCCTCTTAAGTGTGATTTTCTCTTGTGAATTGGTCTCATCTCAGTCTGATTCTAAGTCTAGCTCGAAGGACCATAGGACAGGGGAAATTCTTTCTTCCTGACAGAATCATTTTTTTTCTAAGTTTATTTATTTGTTTTGAGAGAAACAGAGGGAGTACAGGTGGGGAGAGGCAGAGAGAGAGAGAGAGAGAGAGAGAGAGAGAGAGAGAGAGAAGGAATCCCAAACAGGCTCAGAGTTGTCATCACCAAGCCCGATGTGGGGCCTGAACTCACAAACATACCTGCTCCTGACCTGAGGCGAAACCAAGACTCAGGACACTCAACCAAGTGAGCCACTCAGGCTCCCGTCCGACAGAATATTTAAAACAAAGTTAAAATTGGAGAATTGTATTAATGTTTTCTCCACATCAAACTATATTAATTTAACAGTTTTTATTTTAAGTTGACAGGTTGTTCTATTCAGCTAGTTGAAGTACCTCAAGGCAGTAATAAGAGTCTGGCCTCCTTCTGCGACAAAGTAAAAAAGTGAGTCTTGCTATTTCTTTAAACTTTGAAATTTCTGTGGTGGCATAAATTTGCCTATTTTATAACATCACTAAGCTGATTAATTTTGAATATAAATTGTTAAAATTTTATAATTTTTTTAACAATAAAAAATATAAATTCATGACAAATCAGTTCATTGATTCACTTCTGGTATTGTTTTTGTTGTTTTTAGTTAAATGATTTTATTTTCTTGAAAATACAGTTAAAGTTAAGTGTTTCATAATTTCAGACTGCTCTTGCTATTTGTTGACAATTAGGTTTGCAGTGAATTAATTTTTTATTTAACGGCATAACTGACTGACTTATCTGGCTCAGTCCCAAATTAGCACAGATTTATCCTTCCTACCTGGTATATACTATTTAGAATGATGAGCGTACCCTCCTTTTAATCGCTCAATCTTACCTTGAATGAATTTCCAGAATAATGAACAAATGCATGGGCGTTTGTTCATTAGGAGATGTTACAAAAACATCACTGATCCCCTTTCTGCTTATTTAAAATGAACTTATATAGCTAGCTTCCATTTTTTAAGATCAATTTCTTATTAGCAGTTACAATTTATATAATGCCATCTCTTCTGTTGCTAGAGCTCCCAAAAGTTTTAAAAAATGTGTGCATTTACATTTTCCTTCTCTTGATTTTTATGTAATGATAGCTGTTATAATAATAATAAATATACAAATAAATAAACTTTAACTTACTTATCAGCTATAGCAGCTTCCTGCTACATGATCATTTGTGACTAAAGACTGGAATCATTTATTTAATAATTAATTTAAAGGCTATTTGAATGCCTAATAACAACTCCATGCATAAGAAAGATTCAAATGTAGAACAAACAAACAGAAAAGCAAGGTCTCAGCCCTAAAAAGCTTGTAACCCTATTGGAACAACTGAAGGGTATACAGACAAAAAACAAAACAAAACAAAACAAAAACAAAATAAAACATAGCAGCTCATATCCATGAAAATATTTAATCTTAATTAATGTCTCACTCTTGTTCACAGAAAAAAATTAAAATGACTCTTTTTTAAATTAGGATCTTTAAAGATATCAATATTGATTCTTTTAAGAATAAATTACTCACTGTCACAAACTGACAAGCATTGTCAGGAACTTGACACTTTAAATCTAAGATATGATCATTTCCACCAGCTAAGAATGAGAAATAGCTCTCTTAATATCACACGATATCACCTGGTATAAATCCATTGACAAAACACTTACTACTAGTCCTTCCCATCATTTCCTTTTTTAATATAATGTAATATTCTTAGATGAAGTCTTCTTGTGGATGTAATAGTGACTCAAAATATTTTATGTGATGGTGTGTCAGTAGCTCATGGTGCATTTTCTGAATTTCTAAATGTAATTCTTCTCAATGGTTCCTTTCAAAGTAACCATGAAAACTAAAACAATGAAATAATAATAAACCTTAGAGTAGTGAAAGGAAGATATATGTTATATTTACACACACTAATCTTGGTTTTCAATAATACTTTCTGATGTATACTCATACATAAAATGATTAACTTTATAGATGCATAATTATTTTGTATACAAACACATTATTCATCCAATAATAACATTTCTGAAGATCTACTATGTACTAGGCACTGTTGAAGGCTCTTAATTCAAAATACGACCAAACTGAGTTTGAAAGCCAGGTTTCCTAAGAGAATCATAATAAAATGGATTTATGTATCCAATTTAATCTGTTTTTGTCTTGTATTTAAATAACCATACCTAAAAACGTTATTAGCATTCTGTTATACACCCTTTAAAGAGAGTCTCTAATTTTTCGGATTTGGTTTCTTTTTTTGACATGCTTTTAAGCCACATCTTTCAAGGAATGTGTCATATTTTTGTAAAAAATACAATAAAATGGCATAGCATATATAAAGTTTGGGCCACAGCAGTCGCTCAGCAAAGTTTTACAACAGAATGGGTCGTAAATTTGCATTTTAAATTTAATTCATAAAAAACAAAAGTAGCTTAAATCATGTATGCATGGAATAGTATCCTATCATATGGAGAATGCTAAATCATGAAGCTCCTCAACCAGAAGTTGGAGTCTAGACCTTTATCCTCGGGTATAATAGAGAGAGGCCCAAATATTTATCCTGAACAATGGGTTTTCAAACTGTAGCTCTGGAACAGCGGCAGTAATGGCTTACTTGGGAAATTGTTAGTAGGGGAAATGAAGATTCATCCACAGATCTACTGAATCAGCAAGTATGAGGATGGGAGTCTGATTTTGTTTCTGATACATGCCAGCCCATGCACTTTTTTATTTATCAGCCCCCTCAAGAAGGGGATGTTTCTGTGGAAATTAACAGCATAGAGATTAAGCCATCTCAGTGAGCATGGCACTACTTTAATGGGGTATAAAGACAATGAATTCTAAGGATGTAATTCATATTGATATATTACATAGAATGTATAACAGACATTCTATATACAGAGCGTATAACTTTCTCTTCAGGAATAGCACTACAAAATATAGATGTCTGCACAATTAACAAAAAAAACCCCATAATTTCATATTCATTATCAAAGGCATTTTAAAAATCTAAGTTGCAAATAATTTTATGTTATATTCTACATGTGGGCAACAACATGAATCAATACAGATTCAGCTATAATAATATATATTGGTAATTATGATACATCACATGGGTATATATATAGTTATCTTCTATGAAATCTTTCACATGCCTTTTTACTTTTAATTCTTGCAATAAATCTTTGAAGTGGATATAAATACCCTCAATTGTACAATCAAAGGAAATGATCAAATGACTTGCCCCTGACAATAAAACTACTAAATCGAAGCGTCAGCATTCAAACTCAAGGCTTTTGGCTCTAAGGATAAACTATTTTGCAGTTCTCTGACTCATTTGAGTAATAAGGAATTGTTCAATTTGTGCAAATGACCTCTGGGCTAAATTACGTATATAAAATCCATATATCTGTGTAAAAACCAAAAATTTAGAGCCAAGAATGGTATTTACCAATGGGAAACAAGTAAGATAATTTATTTACCAAAATCCTTAAATCAAAATGAATGACTTCCAGCCTGAGAAAGTTAGCAAAAAACAAGAGGTACCCAGCTTCAAAAGTAATGTCAGAGAAGGAAGTCTTCATGATTCAGAGTCAATTTTCATATCTGATAAATGACAAAATATTTTTTAATAGCTTCAAATGAGATGCTCCTGGGGAAGTCTAAAGAACGACCTTTTATGGTTGTTTTGGCATAATTGTAATCCTTACCAATCTGGCCTAATTAATAGTACGGTACCACAAATCACCTGCTGATTGTTTCCATATTTTAAATCAATAGCAAAACTGAGCATGAAATTTCTTATAATCTTCTCCTAAGTATTTTTTCCCATATATTTTTCAGAATAAGAGAAACATATCATGCAGCTGACATTAATTCGAATTCAGGGAAGATCTGGAGCACCACTACAGCATTTCCATGTCAGCTTTTTTCTAACACTAAGTTTAATATAAACATATGTATTGATAACTCAACACAGCTACTTCATTTTAAGCCATACGGTAAGCAAATTTGTAAAATAAATATAAAAATCTACATAAAGTTGGAATAGGCTTCATAGCCTTGAGTCCACAGACTGAAAGCATTAAAAGAAATGTTATTAAATGCTAGTATTTTGCCCTGAAGTGGAGTTAAGAGGAAAATAGCTGGAAACCTTTTGTTAACATTCGTTTAGCTATTGTTTTCAAGAACTCTCTTCACATACTTCACCGCAGGACACTTTACTTTCCTCCTGTATAATACCTGATGGCAAGTGTAACAAATTTTCAGCATATTAAAAACAAAACTAAATTTCTAAAAGATTATAAAGCATTTGAGTGAATATATATGTGAAAATGACAATACATTTGACATTTGACAACTATGTCATTCAAATGTAAATAATAGGCATTGATATATAGTCTTTATTCTCAAGGTAGGAAGTATAGGAGCCTTATGCATAATGAGCAGATTCATTGACTCAGGTCTCTGGGGATGGATCCTGGAACCTGGAATCTGCATCTTATCAAACTCATCAGATGATTTTTTTTCTAGAGTTTTAGAATCTCTTTAAAGTTGTGTAATGTTTTATATATATATTATATATATAATATATAAATAATATATATATTAGATGTATTATGTAATATGTATTAAAGATAAATATATACATCTTTAGAGAAAGAGAAGGAGAGAGAGCATGAGCTGGGGAGAGAGAAAGAGGGAGCGAGAGCAAGAATCTCAAGCAGCCTCCACACTCAAAACAGAGCCCAACGTGGGGCTTGATCCCATGACCCTGGTATCATAACCTGAGCCGAAAACCAGAGTCTGACTCTCAACCAACAAAGCCATCTAGGCACCCCAAAGTTTAATATTTCACTATTATAGTCAACTATTTTGCAAAACAAGAAGTTCTTTAAACATTATTAGCTACTAAATGAATTTCTACATGTGAACTGTTTTTTCTTGACAAATAATGATACAACAAATATTTTCTTTCATCGTTATTCATATTATTATTACTTTGGGTTTTTTTCCCTAACTCTAGTCAAGATTCTGAGTTAGTGCAGATGGCTACAAACATAGCAATGTTATGTTGGAATATTTAGTTAGGACCATCTGGTTTGAAACTAACAAAAACCAACTTTTGCTTCCTTAATAAGAAAGAAAAATTCTGAAAGAATATAGGGATTTCTTTCAGAATTTAAGAGTAAGAACTCAGCAGATTCAGTAAACGCTCAGATGAACAAGCATTCCAAAATTCCTGTATGCATCTCACCTCATCTCTTCTATATAATTGCTTCTCATGTTTCCCTTGTTTTCTGCTGACTCATTTCCCTTGCTTTTCCAGAACATATGGAAAGCCAAGTTCTCAAGCTTAAATGTTATTTGGCCAGCTACCTACAGAAAATTTAAACTCTCTACTAGATCCAATTCCAAATTTCTAAAAGCAAGATTCTGATTGCCCAGCCAAAATCAGTGGTGTTGAACACTGAGCCAATCACAATCTGTATCATCTTGGCCTCAGTTGCTGGAGAAGAGGGAGTAACTGTGAACTAGGGAGACCGCTTTTCTTCTCCTAATTTACAATATTTAATTTCCAACATTTCTCTCTCTCTGCATGTTCTTTTGTTGAATTTGGCAAGTTGGAGGCCATTTCTGACTTTTATGAGAAGTTTCAGGAAAGTGGTTAGGTCATTGCGTTTAGTGTTAGAGATGTATAGTAGTCAAGAGGATGTCTGTGCTCTCAAGGATATTAAAAGTGTTTATAAGAAGGAGGAAGAAGAGGAGGAGGAAGGGGTGAAAGACAGAAGAAAAAGGAGGAAGCAGCAGAGAAGGAGAAAGGACACCTTCATGAAAACACACAGCATATGCCACTGCTGGAAGGAAAACTTCCGCCCTATCCACTGATATTTGAAGGGGGTGAGGGTGGTGGCTGTGACTGAACTGACAGATTAATAGGAGAAAAAGCAAGGTTATTTATGTATGCATGCAGGGGTTACTCAATACTGAGTAATACAGGTAAAAGTTTATATACCAACTTAATGTAAAAGCATGTATGTGTGTGTATGGTGTCAGTTAGAGCTTCAGTAGGAAAGTAGGAACCATCTAGTGGATGGGCAGTCTATCTCCTTCTGGAACTTATGGGAAATTCCCTCAGAAGGAAGTTAATGGAAGCTGTATTTTAGGGAGTCACTGCTTTAGTCAGATAATATAAGTTCAAAAAAGATTTCAAATGTCTTCACTCTGAAATAATCTCTATGTCAAAACTGTGATCCCTTCATCACTTTATGTAAGTGTTTTACTTGTAAATACTGATGTGCTCTGAAGAACAAAATAGTGTATCTGAAGAGTATTTCAAGAATGACTTCAATAAAAGGCGGTGTTGCAAGAATTTAAATAATGAAATTTAGATAAATAAAGAGGACAACATGGATAAGGCTAAGGCATTTTTATCCAAAAAGAATACAGTTTCCCCAAGAGTGAAGAAATAGAATCCTTCTAGAGAAGTAGGTGTTTTGAGCAAAGAATTCTGTTTCACAACTTCAGTTGGCAGTTCAATGAAGATGATTCCTGTGTCCTTATTTCCAAGTACAAAGTTTCTCTAGAGCATCTTTACTTTCACACTTACATGATGGATGGTCAGAAAAGTATTAGGACGCTATTTGTGACATGCAAAGTGATGGAAGTAGAAGCCAGTTTGCAAAGGTTAAATAATGACTGAGAACTGTTTGTAGAAGTTATCTACCAAGAACCTTGATAGTATTGGAAAGGTTAAAAAATACTATCTTAATGGAATGAAATGTATGTGGGGAGATTTTATTGGAAGATTAGACAGAAACAAAAATTATAAGAAAAAAAATCATCTCTACAATGGAGAATATATAGAAGAAAGGGTAGGGGTGCCTAGGTGGTCAGTTGGTTAAGCATCTGACTTTGGGTCAAGACATGAAGTGTTCACAAGTTTGAGCCCCACATCAGGCTCTGGGCTAATAGCTCAGAGCCTGAAGCCCGCTTTAGATTCTGTGTCTTCCCCTATCTGCCCCCCCCCCCCCACCTATTCTCTCTCTCTTTCTCTCTCTCTCAAAAATAAGTAAACATTAAATTTTTTAAATAAAAATGATAGGGGATTAAGTGATGGAAATGGAACTCAGGGTAGGAAAAATCAGGGATTAAGAAGTAAAATATAGTAAAAAAGCCATACTTCTATCTCACAAGATATGTAAAGAGATAGAGGATGATGTGTAAAAGACTAGATTTAATGCACAGAGTAGTTAGTTAAAGAATTTCAAGTGGATGTTAGCCTCTTCAATATGGTAGGCAGTATAGTCAACAGGTTGAGAAGGACTGCACAAAGTGGAAGAGTACAAGAAATTGGGAAAAGTAGCATATTAGCTGTCAAACTGAAGGTACAAGTATAAAATCTACGTAAAAGAGGCCGTAGTACTTGTTCACTTGTAATATGTTTGAGAAGTTTAATTCACAGACACTTAAGGGTTGACTTCAAGGAGAAAGATGATAATTTCAGGTTTAAATACGCCTAATTTGAAGTAATAATGAAACATTCGAAGAGTAACATGAAACAGTAGGAGATAATTAAACTGAAGCACAGGGGAGAAGTAATAGCAGAAATTAGACTATGGAGTCTATCATGCAGCGTGGAAAGATGTAGTGAAATAATGATTTCATGGATGCCCCCTACAGTACAGGGGATCCAGCCTGGAAATGGGGGAGCAAATTAATTAAAATGAATTGGTGTCTCTGGAGACATTTTCCTGCCATTATAGACTGGCAATGTCCTCCCCTCCTTGCCAATGCCCTTACAGTCACGGTTTTGCTGTGGCCTTATTATCTTTAGTTGCAATCATGCTACCTCAGTCATTATTTCCAAGCAACACTGTGTTGAAGAGAACTCTCTCCATGTCAAAGCATTTCCACAACCCTTAATTCTAAGATAATCTTTACTAGTTTCTCTACCCATTTCTTAGAAAATATCTTCATCTATCATAAAACCCACAATTTTAGGGGCGGCTGGTTGCCTCATCAGTTAAGCATATGACTCTTGATTTCAGCTCAGGTCATGATCTTGTGGTTTTAAGATTGAGACCCACATTGGGCTCAGCACTGAGCAGGAGACTGCTTGGGATTCTCTCTGTCTCCCTCTTGCTCTCTCTGCTCCATCCTCTCTGTCTCACAAAATAAATAAATAAGCCTATTTTTTTTTTAAAACCCACATTTTTAAATCTAATATTTTTAAATCTAATATTCTATTCTCTTTAAATCTAATATTATTCTCTCTCATCCCCACTTTTTTGTGGCAGGTTCAGCAATATCAATTGCACTACATTTTGTTAGCCAGTTTGTGTCAAAAACATTTTTCTCTAAACAAAAAGGTATGGCAGAAAAAGAAGCGACAGCAAAGTAAACAAGATGACTGCAAACTAAATACAGCTCAGATAAATACAATTGAGTGTTTGCAGTATGCTGTTCAAATTCTGATTAATGGTCATTGGTACAGTCCGTTTTCACTTTCTTCATTGATTGCAATCATGAGTTCACATTCAAGCCACGGAAACATATATATATATATATATGTTTATATATATATATATACACACACACACACAATTTTCAACTATTATCATTTATGATAATAAACGAGCCCTGTAGTATTTCATAGACAACTATTACCGTAAGTCAGTAACATGCTGGCCACTATTAAATGGCATATGTATGTAAGAGTTTAGTGGGAAGAATATGGAAAGTAAAGACAAAGGATTTGTATCCTACAGTATGCTTAGACTTTGAGCTCCAGAGGTGTAGAAAAAAAGCACATGCTCATTAAAGTTATTATAATGCTGTCCAAGATGGAAACTTGAGTGACTTCTACATGGAAAAGGAAGAACAGTAAACTGTGGAGACTTAGAATCATCCAGAGCACAAGCTTTGGAATCTGACAGATTTAGTTTGGACTCTTCGCTTACCAGTATCACTCACTATATAATGTCCTTGGCATCTCCCAAGTCTCTGTGAGCACCCAGAGTAGAATACTTTTTCTGAGAGCCATGGTATATTCAAGTTTTAATATGAGGAATACAATACCTGGCTCCGTCGATAATATGAAGACAGATTGATAAAGAAAATGCAAACAATATTTTTCAAAAGTATCTCCAAATGTAACGAGACTAATAAATGAGATGCATCTTATTTTAATTTCTCTTGATGGAGCTAGACAGTTACAATGGTTCATAATGTGTGTATCTTTTTTTGTGCTCAAAACCTTTTCCCCAGCCAATATATGAGAAGCTCTTATTAACTTATTATTTATCTTTGTTTTTAGCTAATTATCTTGTCAAGGACCTAATTGCAGAGATTCTACATTTTTGTACAAATGACCAGTTATTCCCCAAAGATCATCTTCTAAGTATATGTGGCTATGAAGAATTTTTACAGAAGTAAGTATCTTATTAAGGTAAATTTTGATCATTGTTACAACCTATGTTAAGACACACTTCATTTTTTTTCTATTAAACATACTTTATACAAACATTATACTCTTATAACCAGCATAATTAAATCAATTTTCCTTTTAATGTGAATTCAAAATTTTATGACTTATATCAACAGTCTCATTCTTAGTTTTATTTTGTATTCTGTGTATTTATGGCAACATGTTTTATATATATATATATATATTTTTTTTTTTACAAATAGTTTATTGTCAAATTAGTTTCCACATAACACTCAGTGCTCATCCCCAAAGTGCCCTCCTCCATGCCCCTCCCCCCCTCCCCCCCACATCCATCAGTCCTCAGTTTTTGTCAGCATTCAAGAGTCTCTCATGGTTTGCCTCTCTCCCTTTCCCCCACCATTTCCCCCCTTCTTCTCCCCCTTGGTCCTCCGTCAAGTTCCTCCTAATCCTCCTATATGTGCAAACATATGATATTTGTCCTTCTCTGCCTGACTT